AACGGGATGGATTCACGTCGTCAATTTGAGCGTGAAGCCTCTTTAAAGGTAAAAGTCGTGACTCGTGATCGACGAACTCGGCTGGGCAAACGATCGGTCTAAACGACTCGTCTCATCGGGAATTTTCAGCGGGGTTAATAAATGGCCTCGGGATACGTGTGGCGAGCCACGAGTGCGAACGAGCCACGATGGTTTCGTGGCTTCCGACGGGAAACGCGACGCGAATCGTCGATTGAAAATTGTGCAATTTCGATTCGTTTCGATTGGTGAATGTCCATTCGACTTTGTTCTTTCGTGTTCCTTAATCTCGTCGCCATTGAAAAATGAAAGATTTCTTTTATTCGCTCTTGCATTTTTGTAATTTTACTTTGAATATTTTTCATGAGATATTGATACAGATATGCAGAATATGAGCATAGTTCTATATTTATCTCAATGTCAATTAAGATACTATATTTTTTTTTTTTATTTTTTAAGATATGCTGCTCTAATATTTGAAGTTCAAAGTAGTTATTTATGATGTGTGATAAATATAATTGTAGTAAATGATTTTTTAAACAATTGGCTTTTCATAAAAAGTAATTGTTACTTTAATTGTAATTCGTATATTCTGACGTATATTCTCTTTATTTTTTCGAGACACTGCGTAGATTAACAAATTAATATTAAAAAACTTATATGAATTTTATCGAGATCTTATGAATAATCCAATTTATTCATAAGATTTAATTCGATAGACATAATAATGGCAGCATGAGCAAAAAAGATTAAAACTTCAGATTTATAAGTTGGAAAAGTTTCCTCGTGCCAAATTAAGATACTTTCTACTTTATATTAACGAAATCCTTTCATAGAAATGTGGAAAAAAACTGTTATTCTAGATCTAATATTCTCAAGTATTATATAACAAAAAAAAAAAAAAGTGAATATCACAGATACATAATACAATTTAATTTATTTCACTTCTTCTCTTTCTTGTTCAACAGCAAAAAATCTGCCCGATATCGTAACAAACCTTTATGACGTATAACGATATGAAATTATTACCACTGATAATTTATCACTATCCCATTAACACATTCTTATCATAACAGATAATTATATCAAAGGTGGCAATAAACTATCTGATACGATAACCACCAAATAAGTTCAACTCTTAATAATTGCATACCTTTTGGAACGCCCATCAATCATACCAATTACCTCGACGCGCGACCACATCTAAGAGTAACACGATTTTAAAAACGCTAGGAGAAATCCAAACTACTACCGTTTTCACAATTACTCATAGAACCGTTATTGTCCTGTAAACGGAGGGATTTAACGATATCCATTGGCGATAGATATCCGTCGAAAGAAAGAAAAACTCGCTCTCCTTGCCCCGACGTGGCCAATTACTCTAGATTCTTTACTTTCGCGAGAAGCCTCGTGCCCCCGAGCCATGCGCAGCGCGTGCGCGTACGCAAGCGCGCGATCGTGGCATAATTTCGAATCGAGCCGGCCTGTTAACGAAGGAATTCGAATTCATATCCGTGACACCTGCGTCGATCCACGATTTTTTTTTTTTTTTTTTCTCTTTCTCCTTCAGAAGATCGATCAATTGATGAGATACCAATGAGAAATTGAATCGGGTGTTTTCGAAATCGTTCGTCGATTTGTGATTTAAAAATGAAATCGATAAGATGAAAGTTTACGGAGTATAGGTTATGTCGTTCGATGGTGAGGATCGATCTATGGGTTGGAAGGTAATAATTGATTGTGCCAAGTGTCGAGAGTGAAGAGTAATGGAACGAGAATATTAGTTGTCCTGGGTGGATTAAGTTTCGGTTTTCAATGGAACAGCATCGCCTCGCATAATGGGTGCAGCTGTAACGATATAGGCACGTGACGATGGGATAAAAAAGAAGATTAGAGGAGACATTAGAGGAGGGTGTCGTACGTTTAATGGCGACGAATTTATTTCCCTTCGCCAACCCCCTCGAGGGGTGGTTTTCAATCGAAATGATTAATTTCCTTGCTCAAGCCTGTTTAAACATGATCCCTTGACGCGTATTTAAATTCTTGACGCGATTTGCATAAGAGGAGAGGGTACGAGATTTTTCTTTTCGATCTAGGGAATTTTAAAAGAGATATATTATAATAAAAAAATCGAACGAATATTTTAATTAATAATTAATTTTTACAACAAATATATATAATTTTTCTCATAAATCTTGCTCTCTACTTACCTTTTTATTTTCATTAAAGATAAAATTCTCGATAAAAATCCATAGACGCCGCCAATCGATTTCCCAACATGTATACTTACGAGCAGGAAACAATAATAACTCACTCGCTCCTCGAGGCTTCAATTGCATCCTTCCGATCGGCACACGCGTTACCACGCTGTATGCAAAACGCGTCATAGATCAATCCTATACCCTATTGTCTGTTAATAAAACTATTGTCCGCTGTCAGAACTGAGTCATCGTTGACCTGGTTCACAAGAGAGCCGCGCCAAAGCGTAATGCAACCGGCTCGATCCCTCGAAAGACGAATTCTTCCTCCTCCAGTTCCAGATCGCCTCGGCCTGTTTTTCCTGGACGACATCTCGAGGAAGCTCCATCATCGGCATCCCTGTTTCCACTTGTTTCTCATCCTCCTTCGCCCGTCTCTTTCTCGTCCTCTTCTTCCTTTTCCTCTTTCTCCTTCCTGGTCCAAGAGGTTGAAACGATTCCAACGATAGTCACGTCTAATCGCGGTTACTAGGCTCGAGTGTGCCGCAAGGTCGCTACGATCTGGCCCGATCCCACGGCCTTGAATATCGTTGCTTGTAACGAGAGTAATAAGGCACCGAAACCCGCTTCCGCAACAGCGTGCGGAAAACGGAGGAGCGAAAAAAGAACGATGGTAATTGAAATGATTATTCATGTTGATTTAGAAACGCGATCATTGCATGGATGCAGAATTTTCTCGAACGTTTTGAGCTTTCTTGTGCGTGTATAGGGAAGATGCAAGAAGAAATCGAGGATTCTCTCGTATTCTCTGATTTGGGAATTGAGATTTTATTGGAATTGGATATTTTGGAATTTTTTACCTTGTGAAAAAGGTAACTTTATAAATTTTAACACGTAGTCTTATTATATGGTTTTAGAAATTAGAAAAATAAATATGGAATAAGTATTTGTTATGTTAATTTACTGGAGAGTGATGGATAAACTTTGCATAACAATTATTGTTTTCGAGTTTAGAATCGATTGTTTAAAATCGTTTAGGAATATATTGCCATTTTGTAGATATGTAAACATAATATATGATATAAATATATATATGTAGAAGAATTGGCCCTTGAAATAGTATACAGATCATTCATAATATCGTATGATTTTATCTGTAAGTGGATATAAGATTTTTCGATCGATAGATCGACATTTATGTTCTTATGTATCTTTATATTGACCTTATTAAAACTCAAAGATTAGACAAGTAATTTCTATTATTAGCAAAACAATTCCTTAGCTACACATGATATATATATATATATATTAAAATAATAAAGAAACTTTTTACCTTTTCAATATTTTTGCAATATTTTTTTCAATTTTGCTGAAATCAAATTTCACATAATGTGATGGAAACCTTGATCATTTTCGTGTACTTTTTCTCTAACGTGGCTCTCTCCACGATGAAATCGAGAATAATGTGAAATATATTAATGTGAATTATATTATATGTGAAGGATAGGTGGCAAATTTGTTGATCACAAGTGAAATTCCTCCTATACTTCGTTTTCGTTTCGCTATGCAATATTTATTCCAAAAGAAGTTGCTACGTGTCTGCTGTTACAGCGACCCTCCTGGAAAAAAATGAGCGATTAAGTCGATTATTCTTCCTTGCTAAGTGTACTTTATCTTTAAAATATCTAGATGGAATTATTAACTGTCTTATTAATGATTGATGAACGTCCATCAATATCATTTTCCATTTGAAAGTAACCATCAAAAGCATTACCTGTTTCTTCTGTTAAGAATCGGAAGATATTCATATTTAATAAAAATAAATTATGGTGATGGCGATTATTTTATATAAACTCTGAATAAAATTGATAAAGGTAAAGAATTTGTAGAAAAGAAGAGTTGAAGATCTATGTGGATTTTCGTATCGTTATCTTCTTCATCGAGCCGTGAATAGTTTGAAAGATATTTGTCTATGCTCCCTCTGTGAGAAAGTGCCCCGAGCTTTGTGCACGTTTAAGCTGACCTACTCCCACGGTCCAGATTCCAGGTTAATATTTTGCAGCGAGATTAATAAGCGTTCGATCATATGCATACATACAAGTGAATAATTCGACTTGTTTCCAAGAGTAATAATTTTATTACCTTTCGTGATGATAATAGCGATTCTGCTATTATGAAAAATATTTAAAAGAATAATTATTTTTAATTAAATTATTCTTTTCAGGTCAGTCAAGTGTCATTAAATTTATATATTGTAATATATGAAATATGTGTAATATAATAAATATTTTTCACAGCTCCTATTTTTAAATAGGATACGTGTACATTACTTTGATTGAAAAGTCATAATTGAATTTGATTAAATTTTACATATCATTATTTTATATTGCATTGGAAACTATATTTAGTTTAATATCTCATCAATAATGATAAGAAATAATTTCAATTTTCTTTTTAATGTATCCATTGTGAGCTTTTATAATGTGCTCTTATTATTTTTAATTATTTTATAAATTAAAAAAATTAAAATACTTAATTATAATTATTTTATAATTCGTTAAATAAATTCATATACTGAACAAGAATATAAAACTATCTTTCTTTTTAAATGTTTTTTTTACTTGTATAATCATATATATTATATATAATATATATATATATATATCAAATAAAATATCTTTTACAAAATTATTTTGTAATACTAATTATAGTGATATCGATAATATATATAATTTTGAATAACATCTATTATATCGTATAAATATTTTATATAAATTTTTTTTTTTACGTCGATCTTAATACTGTATAATACGAAACAGATAGTTTTATTACCTGAAAATACCAATATTTTTTTTCAATGATTTTATAATTATTCGAGAAAGTATTATTAATTCTAAATATGTATATACTTCTGAGAAACTTTGCATATTCAATTCTATTAAACCACCAGCGGTTAAACGAGGTGGAGTTAGACTTCTTCGCAATGCGAATATGTATAATGCTTGTATTTTTGGATTGATATTGTACCATGACGCTTCGTATCTGTAAATCATTTATAGAATAAATTGAAAAATAAAACAAGAAAAATTTTTATGGAATATTTTCATACCATAAGAAGAAAAAAATATTATTGTTAGAAAAGATTTCTTTTGTCAGGAGATTAAGAAAATTTAATTCTAAAATTTTTATTTTTAAGTTCTATCGTTAAATTACTTACATTGAACAGTAAATCTCGTTGCACGAATCTATCACGAATTGTCCTTGAATCATCACATAGCACAAGTGCATCAATTGAACGATCAAAAAGCTGGAATATTTATAAAAATCCAAACAATAGTCCATCGTAACGACCTATAATTTCGAATAATCAAGAGTAATTTCGAATAATCATCGATCATGTTCAATGTTATGAGTAAAACAAAATTCAATTAAATTTACCTTTAGTAACGTGATACTAAAACACATGATTATCAGACCCAAAGATATAAAAAGTAAATTAACATGTGTATCCTCGATTTTCTTTAAATACCTATTTTTAAATTTATAATGAACGAAGAAAACTTTTACTTGATATATTAATACTTCAATTTTGGCATTTAATTCATTAATAAATATAGAATATACAATTACAAAAATATTCGTACATTATACAAGAAAATTCTGGAAAAAATTCTGATTTCATTAAAAGTTTGTACACACGTTGAAGCAATATTTTGAAATCACTCTCTTTAAAATCAATTCTCAAAAATTTTAACATGTTTTCAATTTTGGAAACAATTTCAATGGATATTTTTCAAAGCAGGCTGATAGAGCATTTTAAAAAAAATAAACATTTCATAATTTAAAATTTTGTTTTATCTCATATCAAGTTTAAATAATTTCATTACATAGTTCTGTTAAAAATAACAAAATTTGTAAAAAAACTAAAAAAAGATTAAATTTACTAAATTTACCTACTCCATAATGCAGAGTACAAATATTTCTGTAACTGACAGCACGTAAAAGTAAAATAGAGATAGAAATAGAAATGGAAATAGAACCTTATAGCTCGTTCGTGCCCTTGAATAGAGGAACGTATTCTTTTACACGTCTCTCTTATCTTTTCCTCGGAATTCTTCGAAGCAGAATCGTCGATCGCGTGTTTGAATCGATATCTGAAGAACGTCCATCTTCGTTGAACGAAATTTTGAATATTTTTGCAAGGGAAAGTGATATCAATTTATTTACCCGGCCACGGCCAATAATCCGCAAACATGTTGCACGAATACCATGTAACAAGTGTCATAGGCGACGTACACGATAACCACCATGATTATCGAAAGGCTCATGTGCAGTTGGATGAGGTAATAATAGTCGCGGTCATCATCGACAAAATAGTAACCTGGTATGACATGTAACATAGGCGGGGACGTGTTTTGTGATTTTATCATGTACGACAAACGAGCTGTCCATGGCACTTGTAAGAATAAAAGTGAGCAACAATATGCGTTTACTGGAAGTAAATTTTCAATATGTGAATGTAACAGATAATCCATCATCCCAAGGAAGCAAGAGAGAATGATTCATAAATTGGAAAAGTATTAATATTGTTTTTTAAATACACAGTTGAAGAAGAATAGGGAATGGATTGAAAGAAAAGAAGATGTTGAATGAAAATAAATTGAATTGGAAATTAACTTTTTAATTGATTTATAATTTATTCTTTTGTTGCTTTCAAAATAGTTTTTTGAATATTTTAAGGAAAGAAGAGAGAAAAATTTATCACAGTAAAATGATTCTAAAGTGCTGATTGTCTAAGTTTTATTTTTTTATGTATATAACCAATTGTCTCAATTCTGAATAATCAGAGGATATAATGAAATAAAATATTTGTATATATTTTTAAGAGACTATTTGTTGTTGATGAGTTGTTATGTAAATGTTATTGTAAGTTCCTATATGTATGCTATGCATCACTATGCATCATAGTAAAATTCTTAAATTTTCAACGATATGCATTTATGAGAATTGCAAATATATATTGTTAATTCCATTGTATACAAATTACATTGAATTATAAAATAAAATAATTAATTGAATTATTGAATTAATTGTTCGTAATTTATTCTTTTCTTTCAATTCTATGAAGCTATTTTCGTAAGTAATTACTGTAAGTAAAATATATTTCTTATATTTAATCATTTGACTAAAATTATGATAAAATTTTGAAAATATGAATCGACTCACTAAGATAGAACGTTGCAAGAAAAGATCCTCTTTGGGCATATGTTGACATAATCTCAAGTTCTTCTTTCGGCCGATCCATCATCCAATCCATGTACATATCGTTGAACAAAGACTTAACCTGCAATTTATTCAAATTTATTTTAAATTAAAATGATAACTTTAATTACTAAGTATCTTTTCACCTTCGTTGCATTCAAAATATAGTTAGCCTCTTTCAATAGCAACAGAAATATCGCAGTTGCAATACCTGATTGCTCTACTATCACGTTTACAGTAGATATATGTACAATCCTTGCTACCTAAAATCAAAATTGAATTAAATTGAAATTTTATTAAAAATTTTAGCAGATTCACTAAGGAGACAAAAGAGATTCAAATATTTGTGATTGATGGAATGTAGAATATTTTATTTAAATGGATTATGATCTAAAAAATAATTTTTATTATAAAAATTATATATTCTTTTAGCTGTTAAATTACACAAATTTTTTGATATATGAAGAAACGTACATCAAATAATTTTCTTTTATTTTGTCATTTATCTTTTTTCTATTTTCTAGTTGATAATCACTCATAGCAGAATCTAAAATATAAATTCAAATATTTCCATTTCTTAATAATTAATATTGCATTAAATTTATAAAGTACAATTATGTATATCCAATTATTTTCATAATGTATAATATCTTAATTTTAACTGATATAATATTTTTAAATAAACATTACATTAATAATATAAAAATATATAAATTATAATAATCTTTTATGAATTTTCATAGAATTTTCACAAGAAATACACGTAAAATATCAACAGTTAATAGTCACGTACCTGTACAACGACAGAAGGTATACTAATAACGTATATAATAATCCACGAAATGTATTTGAGATACTTATTTTGATCGGGCCAAATACCACTCAACTTCGCGAATCTTTTCGTGATCTTTAGGAATCGCTTCTCCAACATATCCGAATCCATGATGGAGTCTAGACTGAGCCGATTGAAGCATAAGAAAGAAGCCGCTAGAAATACTCTCATTAATCGTTTCGATGATTCTATAGACCAAGTCGGATCTCGAAGATAAATGCACGCTTTAACGCTTGTCAATAATTCATATCTTTCAATTGAAATGCATCTCTTTTGAAAATTGCTAAAATGCATTGTTACAACGCGTACGTTTCCATTTACAAAATTTAATCCTCAGTAGAAGGAATAGGCAACCTCTTTTCAATTGCATTTACACGTAAATATACGTTGCGCCGATATAAATCGAGTAAATATAACGTTGCAAACGAAACTTACCACTCGTGGATCGATCGTGGCATCCAGTTTTCAATATCAGTACAGAGAAATAATGCAATTCGCGTAATTACACTCCATTTAGAAATGTCAGGAAGAACAAATTGGCGAATTCTAAGAAAATATTTATCTTTTGATAAAGATGTTTATTTTCTCTATATCCAATTTCTTCTCAACAATGCTACTATGTTCGTGCTCGATTAAATTTTTATTTTTTTTTTACATTTAAATTGTTGTTTGTTAAGTGTTTTTGTTGTTTATATAAATTTTGTTATATAAATAATAGTGAGATATAGCTTAGATCTTGCAAGCAAAATTTGTAAGTATTAAGTTTTTTCTTTATTTCTGATAACAGGATGTGATTGGAATATGGTCACGAATTTGATATTTGATTTCTTAGGAATGGAATAATTCATTTATTGCAATAATAATTAAAAAAATTGCAGTTTTTTAAAAAGAACAATCCTTTTTATAAAATGTATTTTCAAACATTGAGCTTCTTCCAATTTAACATTTCAATATGATATATGCATTTCTACATAGATTGAAAATAATAAAATCTTGGTAATTTTTATATTGTGTGGAAAGTGAGCAATATATGTGCTTCAATTAATATTTTTTTAAATTTTTATTTCGTATCGAACTTCATTGAAATACATGAAAATACAGAATATTAATATATTTATGAGACACCTTTATCTTAGAGTTTAAAATATTGAAATTAAAATTAATACACACAATATAATTGATGCTTATTTATTAAATAATAAAATTATAAATGATAAAAATATAATAAATTATATCTTTATTCTAAATAGGATATTAATATATTCGAAAGATATATTAAGAAAGATTGTTTTGATATCTAGAATTTCAAAGATGTTCGACAAACATATTAACACCCATTGTATATAATATTCCAATCGCCATAATACGTACGTAATAATACATTGTTATTACGTCGTTTGCATTACTGTATAATAGGAAACAGCTGCTTTGATTATCTGAAAATGGAAATTCTATTCGTACAAGTATTTTTGTCATGTTTAAACAACAAATTTCTTATATACCTCTGCGAAAGATTGTAAATTCAATACGATCAGGCCACCTGCTGTTAACGTGGGAAAATTTAGGCAACTTCTCAATGATAACACGTATAACGATCGAATTCTAGGTGAAAAAGTGTACCATGGGGATTCGTATCTACAAAGGACAATTGCATTAAAAGAAATAAAATACAATTGTATCATAAAACACTGTTTCTTATGATACAATTGTTTTAACAAAAATTTAATAATTTTCGTTCATTCACATGGATTCATAAACATCTTGTAATTCGTTTATCACAAATTGTCCTTGAACGGTGAGAATGAACGTGTGGAATAATTGAGCGAACAAAAATGTAGCTTGCACTAATTCTCTCGAACCATTTTTCCCATTTGCCACCTGAAAGCAATCTGTTAAATCATGCAGAATAATCGTGTTAAAGAAAAAGTTTTGTTGCATATTGAAAAATTATTATACCTCTAATAACGACACGCTAATGGCCATTATCAGCAGTCCCATAGAAACGAATAAATACGTATGATAACTATTTTCGATTAGCTTCAGGTATCTATGTTAAAGGTAAATTAGTCTGTGAAAAATTTCATAACGTTATATTTTCTCTTTTCATTGTAATAAATTATCAAAAAAAAAAAAAAAAATAGATAAAGATATTTAAAAGGATTTTACACGAAAAAAAGAGCGATCTTTCCCTGTTTCTCCAATTGAAAATAATAAAGATAGATGTAATAGATACAATAGATGAAAAATTAGTTTGAGTAATATTAAACAATATTAATACAGATTCAAAATTCACGTTAAAAGAGAAAAATATATATATATTATTGTTCGAAATGAGACAAATCGAAATCAAAAATATTTTGAAAATTTATATTCATAATTCCATAAATATACTAACTTCAAAGCGTGTTGATGCGCCTTGATCGATTCGCATATACTCTTATACTTGATTTCCTCTAATGGCATGGCATAATCTTCTTTCAAATCTTTGCATACATTTTTAAACCGATATCTAAATAAAAAAAAAAATAATTTTCGTAATAATGATTCGTTAATGAATCATTATTAATCAATCATTGTAATCAATCATTATTTCCTCGAATTAATGAATTTTCGTACTTGGCGATTGCCAGCAAACCGCATGCATGCTGCACAGCGTACACGTAGTTCGTATCGCAGGCGCAAAATATAAAGCAAATCATGAGTATGGTGATTATCATGTGTCCTAGTAAAAGCACATAGTACTTTTCGTCGTCCAACCAGAAATAAGCCGGGTACAAGAATATACGTTTCCGTGACACGTTTAATGGCATGATGATGTCCAGAATGGGCGGTACCATGGGCAATATAAGCATAAATGTTTCAGTAACACCAATGTGCACTATAAAAGTACAATATGGTATCGATTGTAAATTTTATGAATCACCATGTACACGCTTCAGAGAAATCGTATTAAATATGTTCCGTGCGAATCTTTCTCGAGAGCAGGATAAAATTAAATTTAAAGTAGAATATTGATTCACTTGAATTTCGATTATTCGAACGCGAAACGAGTATATTTAAATTGATACATATCTGAAAATATTTATATTGCGGATATCCAAAAACTAATTAATTTATTTTTTATAACGCATTTCTCTTACGAGATATTTATTTTTGTGTGATAAATGTTCAATATTTGGAAATGATTAAATTCTAATTTTATTTAAATTTGATTCTTTCTAATCGATTATCTGAAAGAATTTATTTTAATTCAGATATGTCAATGTCGTAATATACTTACGAAAATAACTTATCGTGATGAATAATCCTTTCCGTGAGTATTTGTACATAATCTCGTATTCTTCTTTGGTTTTTATCGCCGCCCAATCTTCGAATATGTGATTCAGTATTGCTGTCAACTGTAATTTTTCGATAGAACATGAATTAAAATATTAAGTCAAAATTATTGAAGTATTATACTAAAATATTATACTTATATAGAGCAATGTTAAAATATTCGTAAAACGAATTGGAGAGACGATTCTACAGACCAAAAAAATTGATATATAAATTGAGTTGAGTTTATTTATTAAGTTAATTAAATAAACGAGATAGGAACAAAATGTGACAGAGATAGAACAGTATTAATCTGATCTTAATATATTCTATTGAAAAATCATTGTAAAAAAAACTTATGAAAGAATCCAGCAAGAGTGATCTAAATATCATCCACTATGTGTTAAATAAATGTCGAAAATATATCCTTACCTTAGTTTCATCCAAAAAGTAATTACCCATTTTTATAAATGTTCCAAACGATGCTATAGAATAAGGCAAGTTCGTTGCTGCTTTGTCCATAGTGGGATTCAATACGAGATATGCAACCTGTAATTATAAAAGTATTATTATAAATATTTTCTATATATAAATTGAGCTTATATATAAAAAATTCAAACATCGTATTGATTAATTTCATTAATTAATAAGATAGATAAATGAAATAATATTGCAATTATTTCTTAATAATAATAAATATTTACTTTGAAATATAATTATTTATGTCTCACTATAAATTATAAAACAAGATAATTATTTTTTTTTTTTGAAAAATTGAGTATAATTACAGATGTAAAATTAAAAAATTCACAAGAAGTTAAGATATACAATTCTTGATTCTCTTTTTAATTAATGATTATTAACTCTTCATCATAAGGATATTTTCATGTATAATTATCATTAATTAAATAATAAATATAAAACTTGTATGCTTCTTTGAATGTATTTTAATTATCCTCAATGTGAAAAACTTTCAATGTGTCATTGAGAAAAAATAATGTGTCACAGAGCTAAATAGAATTTTAATTTTACAATAATAAAACCAAAATTGACTCGGAATCATTATCATCTATCATACCTGTGTCACGAAACCACTCATCATCACCGTGACACTTATGAATCGTTCCGCCATTTTCGACCGATAATTCTGGTACGGCCATACACCGGTTATTAATCCGAATATTTTGTTGACTTTCAAAAAATTTTTTTCCACTGTTCTCGCATCCATGATCAGAACAACACAAATGCCATCCGAAAAAAAAAAACGATTTTCTATCTATTCGATAATTCTTATAGTCTTCCTTCGTGTCGTGAAGTGTTTCATTGAATAATTCTTTAGAAGACGAATATAAAATTTCTACTGCTTATTCTGTTGCTTATTGTCAAGTAAAATGGATATGACAATCCTTGATTTACTTTAAATATTGAAATAAGGTATTTTACAAAATTGTATATAATGGCATCATTATAGTTTTTTTTTTTTTTTTTTTTATTGACTGAATGATTCCCTCCAATGATAGGGAGAAACGGTTCACGAGTGATGTAAAAGGTTTCTCTTAAATATTAATAAAGTTAATCGTTACCTCGTTCAATGTCAATCTTAACCAATTCATATTTCACAAATGAATTCTGTCATTTGAAAGTATCGTAAGAATTTCTTTCGTCATTGTGTGCTGCATCTTTTACTACGTTTCTTTTTTTCATTCTCACTGGTTATTAGATAAAAAGTTAGTTGATCAACAGCGTCATGTGTTGATCGACAAGAATAAAACTCACAGGAACACGACTAACCAAATTGAATAATCGATATTCTCTTTCTGTCCTTCTGTTACAACAAAATTTCTCGTCAGTCTGTTCTTAACGCTGTGCGGGATATTAAATCGATATAATGTAAAAAATTTTTTAAATTATAAGGAATCGAGGTGTCAGATCTATCGAGACATTTTTTTCAACTATTAGGTAAAAGAAATTTTCATTAAAATATTCAAATCATTTATATATTTGTAAAATTTGCTTGCAAAATTTATTATTATTATACAAAAGAATTTTTTAATATTGATAACTTCTATAATTTATGATTTGCTAATATTTATTAATTGTAATTTAAATTTCAATATGTTGAGTTTTTGTCTTTTTGTTTGTTATCATGAAACTGTTTGAAGATTGAATTGCTTAATTTCATATACGAATCTTTTATTATTTTGATATTAATTACTTATATCTCTAAAATCTTTTAAAAATGTTATATATAATTTTTATTGTACACATCAATTACAAAGAGAATTGATATTATTGTTTTTAAAAACTATTTCTAAAAAATGTATTATATATTTTTAAAATACAAAAATTTAAAAATTTGCGGAATAAAAGATTATTTAATAATAAGAATTCAAATAAAATCTATTGAAAATATTGTGAAAATAAATTCTTTATTTATATTACGTAAATAACAATTTAAATTATATTAAAATTATTCTACAAGAAGAACCATTCAATCATCATTTAAATAGACATAAAAGTATCTTACAATCAGATAATAGAACCCTCTCAAAATGACAGCTATAACTATTAACTATATATTGATGAGTAATTAAATTCAAATAAATTGAATATATTTTTAAATTTTTACTAAGCATAAAAAACAGACATAATATAATTTTCAATTTGTTAATTATAACTTCTCATTAATCTTGTTTTTTATATTTTATATAAATTTATTATTTTTCGTGCTAGATGATGATATAATAGATGATGAATAAATATTAAATTCATTTTTAAATAAAGAAGAAATTTGGAAATCATTTTTTCTGAATACCAATGATATTCTTATCCAAAATTTAAAAAAAATTTCCTTATTCCAATTCACTGATCAACAATAATAATCATAATTTTGCTATTTTTTACAGACAAAAACAGCATTGAAGGCAAAAAAAGAAAAAAAAATGAAAATATCACATCTTGCAGTTTAACACTTGAATATACTTTAGACATAACAACAACAAATAATCCCATTGGGATATGACGTAACAAATACATTGTCTTACCAATTAATTTGCACAACATTAACAAATTCTTTAAATTTTTTACTTTCTATCATTATTCCATCAATTTATTATGATCTAAATACAGTATAATATGAAAATGACGCTTTTAAGATCTGGAAAGAATTCAACCAAAAATGTTATATTTAATCGGAAGTTGTTTTTTTTTTTAAATATTTATCCAATTTTATGTAAAAAAATATCAACTCACCTGTAAAAAGCTATCCAAATTCAAAGCAATCAATCCTCCTCCTGTCAATTTTGGCGGGCTCAAACATTTTCGAAGTACCAATACGTACAATGACTGCGTTCTCGACGAACCATTGTACCAATATGCTTCATATCTATGCACATAAACACAGTGTAATAAATCGCGAAATTCTATTGCACGATAATATTTTCTTTGATTAAAAAGTAAAAAAAAATAAAATGTTCCTTGAATTTCAATAATTTTATCTAAATGCAAGCGATAAATAATAATTTTCTTCATATTTGATAATCGATACATGTCAATAATCTCACATTGTTTTGAAAATTTCGTCGTTGGCGTTTATCAAAAATTGTCCCATGATCGTTAAAAAAAACAGATGTGTCAATTGGCCAACAGTGAATGCACAGAACGTGAAAAACCTAACATTCACTTCCATCGATGACAACTATAATCAAATTACAATAATACTATACATAATACTATATACATATATTGTATAATAATACTATACATAAAATTCGTATATATATCAATACAAAATATTATAATATATCCTTGGAGATTGTAGAAGCAAAAACAAACAAAAGTTGATACAGGTTGTTCCTATTTCCATCTCGTTTCATCCAATGCGAATTTTGAATTACTTATAATTTAATAAACCTTAATTTTGAATACTTCAACTTTTCGTTTTGGCTTCTAGAATCGATCTTTCAAAAGTATTTCATTTATATATATATATGATTCTGTATATGTATGAGTATTAAACTTGCCTTTACGAAAGTACCGGTGAAAGCTAATACTATCATTCCTATGATAAGTAAGAAGTAATGTATGTGGCAGGCGTCTATTTTATCCACGTATCTTTGCACGTAGGTCGTAATAAAAAATATATATATAAAATAGTTGATACGTAGTTGATATTTATATTACTAATGCAACAATACTAACTCAACGGCTGTTTTGTGGGCTTTAATGGACTGTTTAACTTTCGTGTAAGTTTCATCCATTAACGACTCAATATAATCTCCTCCGCAAAGCTTAATGTCATCCACAGCGTGCTTGAAACAATACCTACGTTCATTTTCATTGATTACAGTCAAAAATTCTTGAATCGAAACGTAATTTTTCAGCACAATATTTAATCGAGAAAAGGAAACAAATTGTGGGATATAAGGGATATAATGAACGAATACAGTACTCACCCGCTTATTGCTAACAAAGCGCATCCATGATGTACAATGTAAACCAAATACGTGTCGCAGGCTACGTATACTGAAGTCAGTATTAACGCAACTGTTATCATGTGCATTAATATGGGATAATAATATTTCTCTTCATCCACAAAATAATAAGATGGATAGATTAGTTCTCGGCTACGTGACTCGTTCAAGGGAGAGATGATGTTCAGAATAGGTGGTATACTTGGTATAAGAAGGAACATGAAGACGCAGAAAAATATACTAACTGAACTCAAAGGAAATAAAATATAGAATGAAATGAATAAATATAAGAAGATATTGATGAGAAATGTATGAAAGAGCGAGCGAATAGGATATTTAAAATTACAATTTTGTTATCTTTTGTTGATTTTTAGTTTCGATTCAATTAATTAATATTTAATAATATAACTAATATATAACTTGTAAGAGAAAATGGACTAGAAAATTATATTAAATTATAAAAATTATTAATAATTATTAAAAATTATTAATATAATTTTTAATATAAAAATTATATTAAAAAAAATTATTATATATTTAAAAATTGAATGAAATGAAAAAAAAGAACATTTATTTTTCGAATATTTTCTTCAATGTCTTAAATTATTTTTCATCAAATTTTTATATTAAAATATTAAATATTTTTATAGTAAATTAAAAATAAAAATCTTTTATTAAATTGCATATTCAATATAAGATATTATAATTTTTTAATACATAGTAATCAATGACAAAAATAAAGAAATAATTAAATATATATGAAACACAATTGTGTTTCATATTTTATAGACATTTTTCCTTAATTGAATTTTCTCACTCTTTCCTACATTCGTATTAAAAGTCGTATATATCATTATTGAGTCTTATGGTATCAATTTTTACAATTTAAAAAAATTCTATTTTTTGTTTGTTACCTTCGTAAACAGTAGAAAGCATTCTTGCTCTTTTTAAATACATTTCCAGAATCTCTAACTCTTCCTTCGATCGTTTTATCAATCGATCGGATATAATTTCATTCAAAAGTTCTCTGAGCTGCGATTTTAACGATACTGATAATTATCCTAAGGATTGTAGAATGAATAAAATTGCAAATTTTCACCTTATCCTCGTTTAGGATATAATTGTACTGTTTGCATAAGAGGACGAATCCTATGTCCAAATATGGCAATTGATCTGATAAAACGTCTATATTATAAAACATTATTACCCGTGATATCTAATGCAAAAAAAAAAAAAAAAAAGAAAATTATTATTCGATGTTAATGCTGTGAAATATCATAAATTATTGTCAAAATTGTTATCAAGAATTTCCATATAATTATTGTAATTTTTTTTAAAAAATTAATCAAAAGTTTTCATTTAGGAAATGATAAAAATGTTGGACTAATTTAATTTTAATTATTCATTTTAAAATTACTCATATAAATAATTTAATATAAATTATTAATAGCAATACCTGTGCTGCAAGAGTAAGGACCACTATAACAGATGTAATGAATCTTATGCATAACTTGATGAATCTTTGCTGATACGGCCACACACCAACTAACTGTCCAAAAAATTTATTGATTTTCAGATATTGATCCTCTATTACTTGTTTGTCCATGTTTAATAAACGATAATTTATCATAGAATTATATTAAACACAACTATTCCTCAATGCTATTCTATCTTGTCAGTCAGTTCAGATCCATAAGTTTTCACGTCCACAAGAAAACTGTTATGGTCAAATAATCCAAATATAAACGCATATGTTTTCTATAATACAGTGGTAGCAATAAATAATTCTTTTATCTTTTCAAGTAATTGATTCGCGTGATTAGTCGCTTTTACAAAGATATATGGACTTGATTAATTCATAACTGGAAAGGAAAATGGAAAGGTTTCTTATGTGACAGTAATGGTTTTTTCTATCTTTTTTTTTTCTTTCTTAATAAGAAAATTACAAGAACAACTTAACTTATAATGATTTAATTCAATGCAACAGTTCCTAACAATATAACAATTTGTACGAACTAAGTGGATAAGTGAATCTATGTGTAGGATATGAAAAATTAATGACTGATACTATACCTTCTAGTATTGGTCTTCATATTTTGTCGTAGTGAAACATTTATATGATTCATTGCTTTGTGCATAGAAGAATAAATTGTCGATATTTATATAAAACATTACGATTTTATAAAACATAAGTTTCTTATTTAATAATAAAATTAAGATGGTATTTCGAAATTATGTATTTCAGAACATGGAACGAAAAATTATGTTGGATTTATATTAATTCTTGTATGTTACATATATATTAAAAACAAAATAATGGAGCCCTCTTAATACGATAATCGTAACTATAGTTGGTATATTATCTGGTGAGTAACTATATTTAATTGAATTAAATATATTTTTTAATTTTTATTAGATATAAGAAAAACTTTAATTTTGTTATTAATAAGAATGTATATGTTATATAAATTTTCTATTTTTTTGAGATAATATATTATATTTAATATTCGAAAAATCTTCGTTTAAAAAACTAAATGATAGAAAAAATGATTACGTAATATTATCTATATACATATCTATTATCAATGTCTATAAACTAAATTAAAATTATTCATTATAAAAATTAAAAATTGTTATGAAATCATCTTGAATATAATATTGCTATTCTTATTATTTATTATTTATCTGAAATTACAAACAATTCCTTTATCCCAATCCATCGATCCTGCAATAATCATAAATTTTTTAATAATTTTTTATATTGTATCGTAGGCAAAAAAAAAGGAGGCAAAAGATAATATATTATGTAATACATGAATATATTTTATTGCACAAAATATAACTAAATAAATAATTCTAATTGACTCTACTATTATACTAATATATATATAAATAGCGACAAATATCGAATATATATAGAAATTTTTCTACTTTATGTTGTTATTCCAATTTATTAGGATCTAAATACAGTGTAATAAGAAAATGATGCTTTTAAAATCTAAAAAAAAAATTTAATCAGTTATTTGATCAAAAATTAGTTTCTTTAAAATATTTATTTAATTTTACAAAAGAAAAAAATAAATAAATAACAATTTACCTGTACAAAACTATCTAAATTCAAAATAATCAATCCCCCTCCTGTCAGTTTTGGAGAAGTCAAGCATTTTCGAAGTACCAGGACGTACAATAATTGCGTTTTTGATGAACCGTTGTACCAATGTGCTTCGTATCTATATACATGTGCACAATATAGTGAATTTATTTTTGAAATTTTATTGTACAATAAGTAAAATTTGTTTCATTTATGAAAAGAATTATTCGTGTAATTATATCAAATGCAATATCAAATTGAAAATAATTAATGATTGAATAATTAATGATATGCAAAGTATTATGTTATATCATATGTTATATGTTATATCATAAGCAAAAACAATTTAAAAATAGAATTTTCCTATGATATAAATATTAAATCAAACAATATCTTAAAACATTAATTTTGAGATATCTCAGTTTTTTATTATTATTATTCTTTTCTTAACTTACTTCAAATTTCTTTCCTAGCTTTGATAAATGGATACATACAATATTCTTACATTGTTTTGAAAATTTCTTCATTGGCATTTATAAGAAATTGTCCCATAATCGTTAGGAAAAACAGATGAGTTAGTTGAGCAACAGTGTATGCACAGAATGTGAAAAATCTAATCCCCACTTCCATGGTCGACAGCTAAATTTAAAAAATAATATCAAATATTAAAATCAGAATAATATAAATTCATTCATTCATATTGATATATCATTGGAAGATCTAGAATTCTAAAGAATCAATAAAACAATAAAAACATTTGCAAATAAAAATATAGCTTGTTTATTAAATTATAATTATAATAATATATAATCTAAAAGTAAATTATTAGTTTTTAAAAAATTAAAACTGAAAATTAAAATTATAATTTAATAAACATATTTAAATCAATATATCTATATATCAACTTTTGTGTTTGTTTTGATTTCTAGAATTGACAGAAATGTTTCACGACACTTTTACATGCAATATAATATATATTAATGTTCTACATACATTAGATTATATAGCAAGTGAGTTTTAACGAACGATATATAACTTACCTTCACGAAAGTACCAGTGAAAGCTAATACTATCATTCCTATGGTAAGTAAGAAGTAATATATGTGGCAGGCGTCTATTTTATCCACGTATCTAGCATGTCGTTGTAATAAAAAGTATATAAAAGAATTGATATGCACGACACTTACATACATATTACTAATTATATACAACAATACTAACTCAACGGCTGTTTTGTGGGCTTTTATGGAATGTTTGACTCTCGTATAAGTTTCATCCATTAGCGTGATATAATTTTCATCGTAAATCTTTACGTCATCCACTGCATGCTTGAAACGATACCTGATAATATTTATTAATTACATTAAAAATTCTAATCAAATATAATTTTAATCTAAATCGTACAGAGAAATCAATGATGGAAAATAAATTGGAAGACGTAAGGTATTAACAAATATATTATAATATATATTTATACTCACCCACTGATAGCTAACAAGGCGCATCCATGATGCACAACTTGTACCAAATTCGTATCACAGGCTAGATATATCGAAGACAGTACCAATATCGCTACTATCATATGCATTAATATGGGATAATAATACTTCTCCTCGTCTACGAAATAATAGGTTGGATAGATAAATTCACGGTCTCGTGATACGTTCAAAGGCGCTATGATATTCAGAATAGGCGGTATTGTCGGTATGACGAGGAACATGAACGCGCAGGAATATACCATAGCTAAATTCAAAGAAGATTAAACGTAGTATAGAAAAAAAAAATAAATAGAGATGGACGAGAAATATAGGAAAGAGCGAGGAAATCTTCTACTCGTATTCTCAAAACGAAGTATTTATCTTAAAAATCGTTGTCATTGTTTTATGATATCAATTTTTGTAATACGAGAAATTCTATTATTCTGTGATCACCTTTGTAAAGAATGCACAGCGTTGTTGCTTTTCTCGAATACAATTCCAAAATCTCCAATTCCTTCTTCGATCGTTTTATCAACCGATCGGATATGATGTCATTTAGAAGTTCTCTGAGCTGCAATTTTAACAACACTGATTATTGATATTAATCACAAAGAATAAACAAAATTGTAGGTTTTTCACTTTATTCTCATTCAAAACATAGTTATATTCCTTGAATAAGCAAATAATTGCTGCGTTCAAATATGGTATTTGATCCGAAAAGACATCGAAGCTGTAGAACATTATTACTCGTGATATCTGTATAAATAATAATAATAATAAAATAAATAATAATAATAATATAAATAATTTATTACTTCATATCAATTCTTTTTCTAAATAAAATGATACAGTCTAATATAAAACCTGCGTTGCAAGGTCAAGAAGCATTATGACGGATACAGTAAATCGCATGCAAGTCTTGGTAAATCTTTCTTGAAAAGGCCATACACCAACTAATTGTCCAAAAAATTTATTGATTTTCAGATATTGATTCACTATTGTTTGTTTGTCCATCTTGTAAACAGTAATAATACTTTATCACGGAATGGTTAAAAGGAATACAAGTGTGTTTGTATGACTTTATTCGTTTGTTTAGCCAATCCTCGGGAAACATTTACCATAAGTGTTCATGTCCATGAAGAAACTGTTTTGGTTAGATAGTATAAATGTAAACGTGCATACTTCCTACAGCAGTAAATAATTTTTATGTTTTCAAACAATTGATTCTCATGATTACTGTCTTTCACAAAGTTATATGGATTTGATTAATTTATATGGAAAATGGAAAGATATTTTTGCAATAATATAGTAGCTTTTTCTATCTTTGTATTTCTTTCTTCTCTTAATAAGAAAATTGCAACAGCAAGTTAACATACTGTTGTTCGACATATTAACAGTGTCCAAAGACGTAGCAATTTGTATGAACTAAGTGGATGAATGGATCTATACGTAGAGAATGAAAAATTAATGATTGATGCTACACTTTCCAGTGCCGGTCTTCACAGTTTAGTTGTAGCGAAACATTCGGAGAATTCATTGATTTATATTTATACGAAAGAATAAACTATCGATATCCATTTTGTAGTTTTATAAAAAATATAAGTTTTTTATCGAACAATTAAGAAGAAATCGAGAAACATGAGAAAATATCAGTGAAATTCGAATTTAATTATTTTAGAATATGAAATAAAATATCCCATTGATTGTTAGATCAATCTATCCTATATCTTGTGTATGCTAAGTCTCTTAAAATTTGTCAAAACCGGACAATAGTGCCCTCTGATAGTAATCTTCTAATAATTATATCTATCGGTACATTACCTGGTGAGTAATTAAAAGCAAATCAATCAAATATATTTTTAAATTTTTATTCATCAGACAGACATAATATGATTTTCAATTTGTTAATTTATAAATACAATATTCAATTCAATCTTGTTTTCTATAAAAATATATATTTTATATATTTAATTTACTATTTTTCGTGTTACAGCAATATTTTACCTGTAAAATTCCAATAGTCATATCAATAATCATTTAAGGAGCTAAATAATAAAAAAGAGATTATATAATATTTTTTACATATATTTTCTATATCAATAAATTAAATTTTAAATGTACATTTCTTTTTATTTTCCTTTATAAGAACTAAAAATTCTTATTAATTAATAATGATTAAAAATTGAATATATAAAATTTGATTCTAGGTCTCGATAATTTTTTGAAACTTGAATAATTATATCTTGCAATATCCATTTTTCTGTGTGAGCAAAAAATTGCTCAACAAACAGATATTGCATCTTTTTAGAATGAACAAGAAATCACGAAATCTTGAAGTGAGTAACAATGATATTTCTATTATTCTATTCTTTTATAGTTTATCTAAAATTGCACTTATTTAAAGATTCATTTATTCATTGATCTGACGATAATACTTATAAATATGTTATTATATATTTTTTTTCATATATATTGAATTAGAAGAAAAAAAAAAGATATGACATTTATTTAATACATAAATATACTTTATGCGTAAAACAACAATTAACTCTAATTAACTCTGTAATAATAATTACTATACTATTATATAAATAGCTATAAATACTAATAAGTTGCATCAACAAATTCTTTGAATTTTCTATTTTATATCTTTAATTTCTCTTCTCTTTAATTTATTAAGATCTAAATACAGTGTAATACGAAAATGATGCTTTCAGAATCTGAAAAAAATTCACTCAATGTTATTTGATCGGATATAATTTCTTTAGAATAGTTATCCAATTTTAAAAGATCAGCTCACCTGTACAAAGCTGTCTAAATTCAAAGCGACAAATCCCCCTCCCGTCAATTTTGGCGGACTCAAACATTTTCGAAGTACCAATACGTATAATGATTGCATTTTCGACGAACCATTGTACCAATGTGCTTCATATCTATATACACACACACATTGTGATGAATTGAATTTTTATTATATAATATTATACTTTGATTTATAAATCATGTAATTATATCACATGGAGTACAAAATAGTAATCGAATAATCGAGAATATATAAAGTATGATGTTAAATACGCTAAAAAAGAAAAAAAAAAATAGAATTTTCATTGAATTTCAATAATGCAGAATATAAATACTTTATTTATATATCTATAATGCACATGCAAATGTTATTTGTTTGTAATTTTAACGATAAATGAAATATCTTCAAATGATAATTCCATTTTTTCTATTCTTTCAGTTCTTTCAGTTATATTATTTAATTTTATTATATTTTTTTTTAATTATTTATAATTTTCTCTATTTAATAATCAATAATGAGATAATAATCTTACATTGTTTTGAAAGTTTCTTCGTTGGCATTTATGAGAAACTGTCCCATAATCGTTAAGAAAAATAGATGGATTAATTGAGCTATAGTGTATGCGCAGAACGTAAAGAATCTTATCCCCACTTCCATGGTCGACAACTGAATTTGAATGGAATAATATCAAATTATTAAATCAGAATTGTGTACAGAGTAATCATATATTCTTAGAGAATTGATTCTAAAGACAAAAACAAACAAAAATATCAATTGAGATTTGTTTATCAAATTATAAATAATTTACTTTTACATTAGAAGGAAGATAATATTCAATATTAAATGGTTTTGTCTATCCTAATCGAACAAAATTTCTTCTAATTCAATAAAATAATAAATCTGAATATTTTTGTATAATTTTTCAAACTCTTATGTTCACTTTGATCTTTAGAACCAACCTTTCATAGATATTTCATTTTTATATATACCAAAGTACTAATATACTCTGTATATTACTCTGAATAGTAACTTGCCTTTAGGAAAGTACCGGTGAAAGCTAATACTATCATTCCTATGACAAGTAAGAAGTAATGTATGTGGCAGGCGTCTATTTTATCCACGTATCTAGCATAACATGTTATAATAAAAAGTATATAAAAGAGTTGATATATATATATGAGATTTACATACAAATTATCAATTGTGTGTACTAACTCAACGGCCGTTTTGTGAGCTTTAATCGATTGCCGAATTTTTACATAAGTTTCATCCATTGAGGCGTCTATATAATATCCGTCGAAAAACTTTACGTCATTCACTGCATGCTTGAAATGATACCTGTATTCATTTTCATCGATTACAAAATTTTCATCAAAAATTTAATCAAATTTAAATCAAAAATTTAATTTATAACTTCAATATTTAAATCCTAGAGAAATTAATGATAGAAAAGATAATAATAAATTGAAAGAGATTAACAAATACTTAATGCTCACCCACTGATAGCTAGCAAGGCGCATCCGTGATGCACAATTTGTACCAAATTTGTATCGCAGGCCAGATACACTGAAGACAGTACCAATATCACTGCTATCATATGCGTCAATATGGGATAATAATATTTCTCCTCGTCTACGAAATAATAGGTTGGATAGATAAATTCACGGCCTCGTGATACGTTCAAAGGCGCGATGATGTTCAGAATAGGCGGTATAGTCGGTATGACGAGGAACATGAACGCGCAGGAATATACCATAACTAAATCCAAAGAAGATTAAATGTAGTGTAAAAAAAAAAAAAAAATAAATAAATAAATAAATAAAGATGGACGAGAAATGTAGGAAAGAGCGAGTGATTCTTTCACTTTCTCCTACGTATTCTCAAAACGAGATATTTGTGTTAAAAATCGTCATTCCATGATATCAATTTTTGTAATACAATTCTATCTTCTTATTCGTAACCTTTGTAAAGAGCGCAGAGGGCTGTTGTCCTTCTTGAATACATTTCCAATATTTCTAATTCCTCCTTCGATCGTTCCATCAATCGGTCGGATACAATATCGTTTAAAAGTTCTCTGAGCTGCGGTTTTAATACACTGATAATTATCCTAAAGACTGTAGAATAAATAAGATTGTAGAGTTTCACCTTATCCTCGTTTACAATATAGTTGTATTGCTTGAATAAGGTGACAATTCCTGCATTGATGTATGGCAATTGATCCGATAGAACATCCAAACTGTAGAAAACTATTACTCGTGATATCTATAATATATTATAAATCGTATAAAATAATAAAATAATTTATTTGATATTAATTCGATTATTAAAAATTGATATGATATGTATAAATAATGAAATAATATCTTTTATTTATAATACCTGTGTTGCAAGGCTAAAAATCATTATGGTAAACGTGACGAATCGTATGCAAGTTTTGAAAAATTTTTTCTGATATGGCCATACACCAACTAACTGTCCAAAAAATTTATTGATTTTCAGATATTGATCCTCTATTTCTCGCTTGTCCATAATCATATATAAACAATAATAACGATTTATCACAGGATTATTGAAAAAAAAAAAATAAATGTAATTATTTCTGTACCGTCAACGATCCTGTTCAATTGTCAGTCGATCCATCGGTTTTCATGTCCACAAGAATACTGTCATAAGAAACAGTGTAAATGTAAACGTGAATATTGCTCATAGTAACAATAAATAATTCCTTTTCAAATAATTGTTTTGCATGATTACTCGTTTTTACAAAGATATATGGATTTGATTAATTTATATAGAAAATGGAAAGATATTTCCTAAGAATAATAACATTTTCTATCTTTGTATTTCTTTCTTTTCTTAATAAGAAAATTGCAAGATCAACTTAACATACAACTTGTTGTTCGACATGTTAACAATGTCCAAAGAAGTAGCAATTTGTATGAACTAAGTGGATGAGTGGATCCATATGTAGAGAATGAAAAATTAATGATTGATGCTACACCTTCCAGTGCCGGTCTTCACAGTTTAGTTGTAGCGAAACATTCGGACAATTCATTGACTTATATTTATACGAAAGAATAAACTATCGATATCCATTTTGCAGTTTTATAAAATATAAGTTTCTTATTGAACAATTAAGAAGAAATCGAGAAACATGAGAAAATATCAGTGAATTTAATTATTTTAGAATATGAAACAAAATATCCCATTGATTGTTAAATCTATAATATATCTTATGTGTGCTAAGTCTCTTAAAATTTGTCAAAATTAGATAATAGTGTCCTCTAATAGTGATCTTTTAATAGTTATATCTATGATCGGTATGATCTGGTGAGTAACTAAAAGGCAAATCAATTAAATGTATTTTTAAATTTTTACGTGACATGATTTTCAATTTGTTAAGTTATAAATACAATAAACAAAATTACAATTTTTATTTTCCTTTATAAAAATTAAAAATTGTTATCAATTAATAATGATTGAGTACATAACAAAATCTGATTTTAGTTCCTGAAACTTGATATTATTATAACATTTTTTGTATGAGGAACAAAAATAAAAAAATTGTATTCATTTCCAAATGAACAAGAAATCATGAAGTCATCTTGAAGTGAGTATCAATATTTTTTACTATATTTATCATTTATCAAAATTTCTATAAGTTTACTTATTCTAATCTATTGATCTTAATCTTACAATAATCAGAACATTATTATTTTTCACGTATATTATATTGGAAACAAAAAAAAAGAAAGGAAAAAAAAAGATATTATACTTTATATTTAACATGAATATACTTTATGCATGAAACAACAAATAACTAATCCTAATTAATTCTACAACTTAATTAATATACTATTATATAAATATAAATACCGACAATTGCATGTACATCATTGAATTTTCTACTTTATATATTATATAATTAATCTATTAATCATCAATTTATTAGGATCTAAATACGGTATAATATGAAAATGATAATTTTAAGATCTGGAAAAAATTAATGTAATTTAATCAGAAATTATAAAGTATTTGTCTAATGTAAAAGATATCGGCTCACCTGTACAAAACTGTCTAAATTCAAAGCAATTAAGCCTCCTCCTGTCAATGTTGGCGGACTCAAACATTTCCTAAGTACCAGTACGTATAATGATTGCGTTCTCGATGAACCATTGTACCAATGTGCTTCATATCTATACACATAATATAATGAATTGAATCGTTAATTCTATTGTATGATATATACTTTATGACTTATGAAAATTTACATAATCTTTTGAAATATAATATTCAATTTAAAATAATTAAAGATTGAACAATCAAGAACATAGAAAGTTAAATATATTAAAGAAAATATATAAAAGAAATAAAATGCTTGTTGAATTTCAATAATACAGAATGTAAATACTTCATTTATTAAAACCAAATGCAAATAATAATTAATATTTATCTGCGACTTAAACATTCAATGAAATGATGCTTTCAAATGATAATTTATATATTACCACTGCATATTTTTTTTTATTAATTTTCAATTGTATTGTATAATTTATTCGATTCTATTATTACTTTCTTTCTTTTTTAATTTATTTCAAATTTTAATGATCAATACATATAAAAATCTCACATTGTTTGAAAAATTTCATCGTTGGCATTTATAAGAAACTGTCCCATAATCGTTAAGAAAAACAGATGAGTTAATTGAGCAACAGTGTATCCGCAGAACGTGAAGAATCTAATCTCTATTTCCATGGTTGATAGCTAAATTTGGACAATAATATCAAATATTAAATCAGAATAGTATAATTTGTTAGTATACAAAGTAATAATATATTTTTGGAGGATTTTGATTCTAAAGGCAAAAACAAACAAGAATATCTATTGTATAATTATAAGCAATTTATTTTTGTGCCAAAAGAATAAAAGCAGAGATTGAATGAGATAGCTTTCTCTTTGTCACATTGACGCTCCATTCCATCTCGCTTCATTCAACGCAAAATGTTTTCTAATTTAATAAATAAATCTCACCCGACATTTTTGTACACTAATATTGTATTTTAGAATAGACCCTCCAAAGATATTTCATTTTATATGTAAAGCATTATGTATATGTATATCTTGCAAACTAGTTTTAACGAATGGTGACTTACCTTTAGAAAAGTACCGGTGAAAGCTAATACTATCGTTCCTATGATAAGTAAGAAGTAGTATATATGGCAGGCGTCGATTTTGTCCACGTATCTAGCATAACGATGTAATAAAAAAATATATAATAAAATATAAAAGAGTTGATATATATGACATTTTACATACTATATTACTAATTGTAAACGACAATACTAACTCAACGGCTATTTTGTGAGCTTTAATGGATTGTTTAACCTTTTTATAAGTTTCATCCATTAGGAGGTCAATATAATTTCCGTCGGAAAACTTCATGTCATCCACTGCATGCTTGAAATGATACCTATGTTCATTTTCATTAATTACAGTAAAAATTTTAGATGGGCGTAATTTTAACACAATATCTAAACCCTACAGAGAAATTAATGATAGAAAAGAAAGTAAATGAATAAACGGGTTCTAAGGGATGAAAGATGTGCGGTTAAAACGTGAACTACTCACCCGCTTATTGCTAACAAGGCGCATCCATGATGTACAATTTGCACCAAATTTGTATCACAGGCTAAATACACTGAAGACACTATCAATATTACTGTTGCCATGTACGTTAGTATGGGATAATAATATTTTTCCTCGTCTATGAAAAAATAGGTTGGATAGATAAATTCACGGCCTCGTGATTCGTTCAAAGGCATGATGATGTTCAAAATAGGTGGTATAGTTGGTATCATGATGAACATGATCGCGCTGGAAATTACTATAACTGAAGAGAATGAAATATAAGATAAAAGTAAAATAATGATTGATGAGAAATGTAGGAAAAAGTGAGGAAATTGATGATACAATTGATATTAAATAATATATCATTAAGAAAGATATAATTAATTTCTTAAATTATTTTCATCAATATTTCATTTAAAAATTTTATTTTTGCATTTCGTATTTTTATTTTTATATGCATGAATATAAATTTATATTAAATAATATAATATACAAGTATATATAATATTGTTAAAACAATAAAGAAAAAAATTTTTTATAATAAACTACTAGTAAGAATAATTATAAATATGATATATCTTTATAATATTTAATGATAAAAATAGATAACAATTAAGTGTATATGGAATGGGCATGAATGTTAAAAAATTAAATGATTAGTTTTATACATTCCATATAATATTTTTTCAGGATAAATATTTAGAAGAACTGTTATACACCTGATAATAACATTGATAAAAATTGTATAATTATTATAATAATAACTGATTAACTGTTTTAAAAAATATATTAATAAAATATAGATTTATTTTTTAAATAACTTTTAAGTGATCAGTATTTCCTCATGTTTTTCTACATATATATTTTTTATTTGTTACCTTCATAAAAAATGCAGAGTGTCGTTGCCCTTTTTGAATACATGTTCAAAATTTCTAACTCTTTCTTCGATCGTATCATCAGCCGATCAAATATGATGTCATTTAGAAGTTCTCTGAGCTGTGATTTTAATAACCGAATTATTATAATTATTCTAAAGATCGTAGATATAAAATAAAATTATAAATTTTTACCTTATCCTCGTTTAAAATATAATTATATTGTTTGAATAAGAGGATGAACACAGCATTCAAGTATGGCAATTGATTTGATAAGGCATCCAATGTGCAGAACACTATTACCTGATATATCTATAATATAATCTATAATATCTATAATATTATTTGTAATATTTATTATTTAACATTTTAAAATATTAACATTTTAAAAAAATATAGATAGCAATAATTTATTGTAAATTATATTGGTTCATTTCAAGACCATATATTATATGATATTTCCATATAATAATCGTAATTTCTCTTTGAAGAGAAATATAGCTAAAAATTCATTTAGGAGATGAAAATAATAGGCAAATTTTAATTTGATTTTAATTACTTATTTTTTATACATGTAATACAATCAAAAGGAAATCTCAAAGTTAATTATCCAATTGATCTTTGATCGCAAAATATGGAAATTAAAAACAAGTGCCTTCAATTTTATGCTTCTTTATCTGTATAATTTTATTTTTTATTAAATCATCCCATAAGTAATATCGTTTTAATTTTAATGGAATTCTAATAAAATTTCATTGTCATAGTATAATATATACAAAATAAAAAACACACAATTTTTTGAAGTTGAATTAAAAGAACATGATCAATGTAACATATTAACATCATTATTTTATTTATTTATTTTTTTTTATTTTTATGACGAATAAGAATCTTATAATAAATAATTATTTGTAATTTAAAACGAAATTACTTACTAGACATAGCCTAATCTAATACCTGCGTTGTAAGAGTAAGGATTATTATGGCGGATATAGTTAATCGTATGCAAGATTTAGTGAATCTTTCCTGATAAGGCCATACACCAACTAGCTGTCCAAAAAATTTGTTAATTCTCAGATATTGATCCTCTATTGCTTGCTTGTCCATGATCTTAAATAATAATAATGATCGTAAATAATAATAATAATACTTTATCACAGGATAATTGAAAAGAATTAAATTATTTTTATATGATCAATGATCTATTCATCTAGTCAATCCTCAGGAAACGTTTATTATCATCAGTATTCATGTCCACGAGAAACTGCCATGATCAGATTGTCTAAATGTAAAACATATATGTTTTCAATACTGTAATAATAGTATTAAATAATTCTTTTATCTTTTTAAATAATTGCTTTACATAACTACTTGCTTTTACAAAGATATATAGATTAATTTATATGGAAAATGGAAAGGTATTTTGACTAATAATAATGAAGCTTTTTCTATCTTCGTTTTTCTTTCTTAATAAGAAAATTGCAGAAACAATTTAACATAATTTTATTATGATATAATAGCAATATCTAACGACGTAATAATTTGTACGAACTAAGTGGATAAATGGATCTATATGTACGATGTGAAAAATTAATGACCGATGTTACACCTTCCAATATTGGTCTTCATATTTTTATAGTAGAAACATTCAGACGATTCATCGTTTTGTATCTATACGGAAGAATATATTGTTGTTACCTATTTTTTCACAAGATATAAGTTTTCTTATCACATGAGAAAATGTGATTCGATTTCCATCCTGGCTTTTTTTGTTTGCGGCTCTATATCCTATAGTTCTCTTCATGGCTGGTTCCTCATTTCTTTCTACTTGAAACAGGGAGACTTCGACCCTATAATTATTATCCAGGTATATACTGTAATACATTCTAATTTCAATGTTGTAATGCTTTTGAACTGCAATTAATTTGATAAAGATATATTCATACATGTTTAGAAAATCGATTCCAAATGAATACAAAAATTGATATTGATTGAAATTTCTTTATCAAGTTATTAGCAATCGATAATTTTTAAGTTTGAATTTGAGAAAAAAAGAGATAGAATGATGGCCTCCATCATGCTATCGTTTCTATTTTCCTCTTGCTTCTTTTAAACATCTTTTAAAATTATACCATTGAACGGAAAAATATTATATACAAAACTGAAAATTAATTGGATAATTAGAAATCGAAGAACATCGAATTTGAAAAATTTTTTTCACTTTTAATAAGTGTTACTGATATTTATTATTATTAATGTGATTATGTGAAATTTATGACGAATAAAATATAGCAAATCATAGTAAATATAAATATTATTCCATGCGGAACATTAAATATTTTATGACGTATATTTTATATTTTTCTTTGCAATGGTTAATTTATTTACAACTATTTACACAATATTAACTCATTTAATAAACAATATATAATGTTGGTACGAGAAGCAAAGAGGAACATAACTAGACTTTGTTAAATCGATATTCCGGAATCGATGCATTTTCTGTGCATGCGGTTCAATACTATAATATATTAATAATATAATAGATAATATCTAAGATTTATATTTTATTTTTTTAATATGATATGAGATATTTACATAAAGATATTTATTATTAATTTATTAAAAATCTATTTACAGATATATTTAATATTTACTATATTTCCAGTGTAAAATAAATTTTATTTATAGAAATATTTTAGAAATATTACAATTGAATAGCACAATATTAAAAATTTATTAATAAAAATTTAAATCCAATCTTATTAATCTTTCAATAATTATCGATAAATTGTATCACATTGAATTATTATTAGTATAATGAAAGAAAGAAAATATTAAGCAAATATTATATTTCACATTTGTAATAAGATTATCGGCAAGTAACTTAAGTGCAATCACGTAATTAAACATAATAAGAAATTTTTGTGAACAAAAATATCGCTTGCATAAACATATATCGAACATTCCACTTTGTATCGATTTATGAAGATCGAAAAACTGTGTAATATGAGAAAGACGCTTTTAAAACCTGAAAAAATTCAATTCAGTTATTGTTACTCAATTGTTAACCCCTTTCTTAAGGATAAATTCTTAATATTTTATAAAAATAAGCTGACCTTTACAAAGCTGTCTAAATTTAAAGCGATCAATCCTCCTCCTGTCAGTTTCGGTGGATTCAAACATTTTCGCAGTACTAATAAATATAACGATTGCGTTTTCGACGAACCATAATACCAACGAGCATCGTATCTATAAATAGTAATAATTAATTGAATCGTAAATTTTTATTATATTATGATATGTTCCATTACTTCAGAGTTATTAATATTTTTATTTCATCGATTGAAAATATTTGACGATTAATAATATATTTAACAAAATATTTAAAAAAATATATGCAAACTTTATTTAAATATTTTGATTATGTTAAGTTATATGCAATCGACTTGAATATATGTACATGTGTCATAGCCTCACATTGTTTTAAAGACTTCTTCATTTGAATCTATCAAAAATTGCCCCATGACCATTAAAAAAAGCAAGTGAGTTAGTTGACCAATAGTAAATGTACAAAAAGTGAAGAATCTACCTCCTATTTCCATCGATGCCAACTAAATTTAAAAAAGAAAGAAATTTAAAAGGTGATATAACAAAAAAGCAGCATAAATAAATATATATATATAAGTATAAATAAGTAATGTTATTTTAAAATTTTAAATTTGTTAAATTGTGAATGTATTAAAAACCGAAATTAATAAATTATATTATAAATTAAATTAAGAATTATATATATTTTGAACAGTATTGATTCGATTATTGAAAACAGAATGTTTCATTGAATGATAACTTGCCTTTATGAATGTTCCCGTGAATGTTATAATTATCATTCCCAAAAGGATGAAGAAATAGTGTATATGACAAGCATCGATTTTATTCACATATCTAACAACATATATTAAATAATAAAATTATATTAAAGAAATTTATATAAAAAATAATTCAAATTATATCTATTATACATAATGATACTAACTCAACAGCTTTTTTGTGAGCATCGATGGATTGACTTACTTTTGCATAAGTTTTCTCCATTAACTCATCACTATATTTTTCGTTACAAAGATCAACGTTATCCATGGCATGTTTAAAACGATACCTGTGTTTATTTATATTAATTACATAAAATTTAATTTAATATTATATGATATTTAATAATAAACTTTAAAGAAAAATTAGTTACTAAAAAAAAATAAAAATTTTTAGTATAGCAAATGAATAATATATCATTTTTAAATAAATCGAATACTTACTTACCCACTGATGGTCAACAAGGCACATCCATGATGTACAACGTGAATCAAATTTATGTCACAGGCAATATATACAAAAACGTGTCCAAGACACACTGCTAACATGTGTCCTGTTATGAGATAATAATATTTCTCTTCATCCACAAAATAATAGGATGGATAGACGAGTTCACGATTTCGTGACTCGTTTAGTGGCATGATGACATTCATTATTAGTGGTATAGATGGCATGGAGAGAAACATAAATCCACAAGAGTATATGCTAACTAAAAATAAAAACAATAAAATATTTGAAAAAAAAAAAAGAAAAGAAAAGGAATAAAAGTAGAATATATATATATATAGTTAGAAATAAGAGAAAGAGAGACATCTGATTTTTGAGTTTACGAAACTCAAATTGTCTCAAAAGTTTCGAAAATTAGAATGCTTATTTTTGTTAAAAATTAAAATATTATAAAATCGAAATCTCCATTCATTGTAAACCAATAATAACGATATCTTTTAGATTTGAAAAAAATCAAATTCTTATATTTTTTCTTTTTTCTTTACTGTTTAAAGAATTGTTTGCTTACTCTTCACCTTCGTAAAAGGAACAGAAGAACATTGCTCTCTTAAAATATATTTCGAAAATTTCTTCTTCCTCCTTTGACCGTTTCACCAGTCGATCGGATATAATGTTATGTAGAAGTTCTCTGAGCTATGCTTTTAAAATTATAATTTTAATAATTATACATATATAAAGTATTAATTTTTACTTCATAAACGAGAATCAATTTGTATTCAAACATTTTTTAAAAATATGAAATTTTTTTGATGTTAGTTTAAGAATAGTTTAATCATAATATTTATAAAATTAATTGTTTTTCACCTTTTTCTCATTCAAGATATAATTGTATTGCTTGAGTATAAGGGCAAATCCTAAATCAATGTACGGTATTTGATCTGATAAGACGTCAACGCTGTAAAACACTGCTACCCGTGATATCTATATTTTAATAACATTTTAACAATTATAACACAATTTCTTAAAAAATATTTAAAATATTTTTTTAATACCAAACTTTTTTACTACAATAAACTAATCACAACTCTTTTATTTAATATAATAATTTCACAAACATGTTATTTCCACAACAATAGTATTACTACCTGTGCTATAAAGGCAATAATCATTACAATAAGAATTATAAAACGTATGAAAAATTTCATGAATTTTCCCTGATCAGGCCACACACCAACAAGCTGTCCGAAAAATTTGTTATCCTTAAGATATAACTCTTCCATTGCTTGTTGATCCATATTTTATCACACAATATTTTATCACAAGATCTCTTTTATCTTTTAGACTATCCTCGAGAAGCGTTTCTCAAGTCTTCAAATCCACGAAGAAATTGCCATGACTAGACAGTCTAAGTGCAAACGTGAATATTTTCCACTGCAATAGTGGCAGCAGTAAGTAATTCTTTTATCATTTCAAATAATTATTTTATAAGCAATGTGAGATTATTCGTAATACAAAGATATATAGGTTTGATTGATACTTTATATGAAAAATGAAAGCATTTTATATTGTACAAAGTAATGGCGGCTTTTACTATTTTTTTTTCTTTTTACGAAGAAAAAAGAAATTGCAAGAATAACTAAATATGATTTAATTCTAGATGTAGTAGCTATGGCTAGTGATGCGGTAATCTGTATGCACTAAGTGGATAAGTGGATCTATATGAGGGGATTGAAAAATTAATGGTGGAAAGTATTCTTTTCAATACTCGTCGCAGCATTTTATCACAGTATAACATTCGTGGCAAGAATATTGCATTATGCCAAATTGTGAGTTTTATTCTTGTTATCCGTAAGTGCATGAATCGTTTTTACGAATAGAAAAGATTAATCTATCTTTTCTTGTATTTTGGTGTTTTTAAAGTATAAAATTTTCTTGTTAAAATATTTTCATGCATTTTGAAAGAAAGAAATATAGTAAAGAATGAATGAATATTATCGAAAAATTTTGCTTTTTTCTATTTTAATCATTTTTTATTGATCATCAATTGGAAATAATTTTTTATATAGATATAGATACATAAAAATTCCAAGATATATATTTCGAAATAATAATGTGTTATTTATATACGTATAAAATTTTTTTATATTCATCTATAAAAAAAAACATAAATAAAGTGTAAATACGTATATAAATTACCATATTGTTTATAATATATTGAAATTAATATACAGAATCACGTGCATATTGCCCTCTTCACGTGGTATCTGGTACTATATCTCTGCATTATCCTGTAAGTAATTATAAATAATTAAATATTTTTCAAAGCATTTTTAATTTTTAATAAAAATACTAAATGAAAATACTAAAATAAAACGGTATATTATTTTATTCGTTACTTTCAGCACTTATATAACTAAATATATTTTTAGAAATCTATGTCTTACTAAAGATTTACAGTTCTTCGCCATAGATGGCAGTAACTATCAGCGGTAAATTTAAAAAGAAAATCTTATATTTTTCAAATTTTTAATAATAAAAGTAAAAAAAAAATTAAGAAAAAATATATTTATATTTATTTATTTTTCTATAAATTCTAAATCAATAAATGATTAGTTATTGTTAGTGATTAACTGTGAAAATAAACTATTCTAATATGATTTTGTTATTTTTATTTTATATCTATGTAAATATTCCATTCAAATAAAATTTTAAAAAAACCCATGCTATGTATCATAGAATCTCTTAATCGAATAAAGAATAAAAATAGAATTGATTTAAAATTTCATTTTTGTGAATATTCAATAGTTTATAAAATATTTAATACAAATTTGTGATTTTTCTTTTTTATTGTGCAAATAATACGTACGTTAAAATATATTATACTTGGCAACTGTTCTTTTGAATAATTAATGGCATTCAGACAGATTTTAATACGGTAAAATACGAGACACTCGTTTTCACGACCTAAAACGAATATCGTGTGAAATGCATTCGAGGATACTCGATTGTATTGCAAAGTTGATTAATGGCTTACCTCTGCAAAAGTGTTCAAGTTTAGTTGCACTAATCCACCGGCTGTTAACAGAAGGGGATTCAAATTTCTTCGCAGAATCAGAACGAATATTGCTTGAATTTTATATTGCACATTATACCAATATGGTTCGTACCTATTACGATATCACTATTTATATAAATTGTAATTAACAAAATAGATCTACAAAAATAAAAAATTTACGATAAATATTATCAGGCAATTAAAATTTTATTGTGTTTATTTAGTAGATAAGAAAAATGCAAGAAATGTAGAAAACAAATTTTTATTCGTTAATAAAACTCTTAATATAACTCTTAATATAATTTATTTATTATGCTTAATAGAAAAAATTATAAATTGTATTTTATGAAATTTAACATTCTGTTCGAAATAATTATCCAGATTTAACAAAAGTATATATATACAGAGCGTTAATATATTCATAGGAGCTTAAAGATCGATTATAGAAATCGAAACAAATTTTAATGTAAAGTATTAATATAAAAATATATATATATTTTTTTTTATATTATTTTTTTTTATCAAAAAAAGAATGACACAATTTTTTTGATCACGTAAAAAAATTATTATACGTAATAAAAATGATTTTGTTACATTATAGTTAATACTTACATATCCCAATAAACATTATTATGTGAATCAATGACGAATTGGCCTTGAGCTGTGAGGAAGAAAATGTGCACCACTTGAGCAATCACGTATCCGTAATACTGATTAGTTTCCATGGACCATGTTATTGTACCTATCTTTTTTTTTTTTTTTTTTTTAATAATATTTTTAGTCAATTTTACACAAATATCAGAGATTCACCAAGAATGAAGATCGCTCACCTTCATCATCGTGACAGTAAGACACAAAATTGATGCACCCACTTGCGCGAAGATATTCATAGAGAAAAAATCCTCGATTTGGGCGAGATATCTAATTTTAAAGCTCGATTTTCATGTGTCCAATAATTTAACCAAGCGCGTTAGAGTATCAATAAAATGATATTATAATCAATGCGAATAAGAAAATTCGTATTTTTCTTCTTCAATTTTTGATTGTAAAATTGTAAAAGATTGTAAAATTGAGAATTTGTTAAAATACTTTAGAAAATTATCAAAGAACTATTATTTAAAAATTGTATTAATTATTAATTATTTAAATTTTTAACCAAATCACAAAGGACAAAAAACAACAACGACAAAAATTTGAACATCATTATACTAACGCAAGCGCCCGTTTGTGAGTTTTAATGGCGTAGCACAATCTTCTGTATATTTTTTCATCCACTTTCGCATCTTTCCTCAACAAGTACAAATCGTTCAAGCTATTTTTGAAGCGGTAACTGCAAAATTATATTTCTAAAATATTATTATTAAACAGGATATTATTATTATTACTATTATTATTATATTATTATTAAGCATCTTTGAAGAATCATTTCTAGAGATCAAAATAAGTATAAAAGTTGATATAGAAAAATATCGACTGAGACTTATTTATTGAATTATAAATTGAATTTTACGTTGGATGAAGCGAGACAGAGACAGATCGCTCTGTCTCCATCACCTTCATTCAACATATATTTTTATATATTTTTTTTTTCTTTTAATAAATTATATTGTTATGTCGTTAAAAAAATGAAACAACACACATCAACGATGAGCAAATAAGCATTATTATACAATTTATTGCATGTAATATCAGAACTTACCCTGCAAGGGCGAGCAATCCGCAAGCATGTTGCACGACGTAGACCAGTGTTGTGTCCGTTGCAATGAACACGCACATCGCCGTGAACAACGATACGATCGAGAATATCAAAATGGGATAATAATAATCGGCCTCATTCTCGATGTAGTAATACGCTGGATATATCTGGATCCTCGGCCGTGACTCGTTCAAGGGTATGAATATATCCAACAAAATAGGCGTCAAGGGAAGGATCAAGAAAAGGACTGCACAAAAGTACGCGTTTACTGCAATGTATCATCAATGTGTCAAGGTTTAATTATTGAGAATATATGATTGAGAATATATTATTATGCGAATTTATTTATTTTTTTAAATGTAATTAAAAGATTCTTCTTATGAATAATATTTTTAAATATTATTATTTTCTTTTTTTTCTTTTTAATCTAATTTGAATATTGTAAGAATCGTGTATATTAGATATATTTTATTCTATATATCATATTATATGCAAAAATACATAGAGGAAGAATATTCAATGAGGAAAATAGATTTTGAATGATACAGAACTTTAAATCTTTAGTAAGTAAATGTTTTTTTGTCAAATGGCAATTGCAATAAAGGAATGGTATTTCAAATATATATTTTAATAGCAATTAATTATAAACATTGTTTTGAAATGAATAGATATTTTGATTGAAATATAAAGAAATTACTTTATATAATAGCATTTCAAATAAGTAATTTTAACTTTAATATTATTACAGTATTACAGTACGAAGCCATTGTATATAATATATATAATATAAAAGAATTCAATCTATTCTCAATCAACTGAAGTAAATTGTTTATGGAATATTAAACTAGGCTGAAATATTGCAATGTTTCTTGAATTCTACTTTTGATTAGTAATTAATAGAAGCAACAAAACCGTAAGTTTATGTATATTAACACTTGTTCTATAAAACTAAAAAAATTTTATATTTTTAATTTTATATTTATATTAAATTTAAAATTTTATATTTTAATAGTAATTAATAAATAAATTGCAGTGGAGAGAATTAATTTGAGATTAGAGAAAATTGATTGATCGATATATTGTCATCTTACCTATGTATATTAATATAAAGAATAAACTTTTGTCAGCGTATTTTTCCAGGATCATCTCTTCCTCGTGCGTTTTCTTCTTTTGCCAATCATTCAGAATACTCGTAAACAATTCCTTGAACTATCCAAATACAAAGAAACGACTAAAATCTTAATCTCACTTCACTTGTTATTTTTCGAATTTGTAATTATCAAAATTTCTCACCTTTTGCTCATTAATAATAAAATTGTTGTATTTTATCATTAGGAGAATAGCCACCACCAGAAATGGAATTTGATCCATTGCAACATTTAGACTAAAGAATAGTATTATGTTGCTTCCCTACCATAAAATTAATCAAATAATCATTGCCAAATTAAAAAATTAATAAAGAAAGCATTCTTTGCGTTATCTTAAACTTTCTCAAACTGTATCAAACTCAAATTAAATCAATTTCGATTCGATACAATATCAAAGTTTTCAACTTTGAAGATGTAAATTGTAATATTTGCAAAACAAATATACATTGTCGATACATTGTCAAACTCTCTCAAACTCCATTAAACTTGAATCAAATTGAATTAATAAATGATTGATACATTAACAGAATTGTTTTCGAAAATAATAAATAATAATATTTAGAAAATAATAATATTGTATTAGCACATTGTCAAACATTTTCAAACTGAATCAAATTTGGATTGATCAGAACTGAAAATACAAACTATAACATTTTCAAAATATCAGCATATTGTTGAATTTTCAAAATATCAAACTTGGATTGAATCAATTGAATTTGATACAATACAGAGTTTTCATCCCCAAAATATATTGAATTCAAATAATATATTGAATTTCGATTAAGTCAATTCGATTCAAGATATCAGAGATCTCATTTCTAAAGATAGAAAATATAATATTTACATTTTAAAAACATTGTTGATAAAAAAACACGATATCCCAATATTATTAATAATAGACAAAGTGTCTAATCATTGTAACCATAGTATTGGTTTTTCTTTTTTTTTTCTCTTTTTTTTATAATAATAAATCAAACACACCTGTGTAAGATGCGCCATGATCGCTATTAACTCTATAAAAATACGGGGAATCGTTTTGCGTTTTTGATTCGGCCACATGCCAACGATGATTAAATATATTTTATTTATTTTTAAGTATCGTTCCAGTCGTTGTATATCCATGTTATCACTAGGCAGTCCAACCGATAGACTGTCTATGTAGTTTTCTAGCAATCGATGACTTAATAACTCGTCTTTTTAATCGCAATCCATATACAGTTCCGTGTTCGTTTGAACATTGAAAACGTTTAAGAATTGATAGATACGTATGCACCGATGCATAAAGTGACTCAATATTTAATTTCCAATGATGTCACACGCGTGTCATTCGTCCATTAGTGTTATTGTAACGATATGTTCTCGAACATATCATTCATATTACTTAACCAGACTCTTAAGCAATTATAGTTTTTACATTGCTATTTTTATTATCGTTGGAATTAATAATGAAATATGAAACACGATTCGTTAGTTAAGAGATATGGAAGACCAAACTAAATTTTTGTGCAGTGGGTAAAAAAAGTGGATATTCGTGTAGTTAATTTTTTTTTTTTTTGTAATAAATATATATAAAAGTACAGTGATTCACAAATGTGCAGATTAAATATTTTTAATAAAGAGGAAAAGAAGAATGTAAAAAATATAGAAATTTAAAAATTGAGAAATTATTCGTGCAATATTCTATTATTGTTCTACTGCCAAATTCTTATATTTTCTATATTATGCATTATTAAATACATTTTTAATTCACATCTGTAAAGAACGTAACGTAATTACTTCTATTTATTTCTTCGTAATAAAATTAATACGAAAAAAAAAAGATAATGAATTTCATTTCTGTGATCATAAATTTTAATCATTTTAATCCTGATCACTGATACCTAAAATACATAAAAAAAAAAAAACTGTACATAAATTGTCTCGTTAAAAATTATGTTTTTTTGAAAACACAATTCAAAAAGATTGAATTTGAAATTTCAAATCGATATTCCTTGACTATGCATATTTAATATCTCGATTTTCCAGCAGATTTAAGCGTTATAATTTTATTCTACATTTTTTTTTTTTTTTTACATTTATTTTCACACATAAGAGTAATCCCTTGCCGATTTATATTTAACACTCGAATTAGCTCGAATTTCACTTGGAAATTATTCAAGTTTAATTTTTTTTTTTTTTTTTTTTTTACCTACTCAATATCTCAATAATAATAACAGAAACATGTATCGTGTCAATAATTTAATCGTTCTAATTCACGGATAAAAAAAGATAAATCCCTGGCACGATCGATGCGCTCATTCGTTAAGTACTTTCTTTTTCTCGTTTCCTTTTTTTTTTTCTTTTAATCTAGAACGGAAAGTCCAAAGATATCGTCCGCGCATCGTACGTGTACCGAAGTTACAATAGAGCGGAAGGTATGTACTAATTGGATGCAGCCTTTCAGCCGAAGCAGCGACCAACGGGGGTTGGTTTAGATTGGAAGAGCGGCGTGGGCTGCGGCTGGCTACGACGGATCGAGTTACACAAAGGCAGCTTTTTTAATTGGATAACGTCATATCGACGCGTTCACACGCGTATGCCAACTTTTTTTCCCATCGATTTGCTTGCTGCTGGTCCGCCATCGGCCACCTATGGGACGGCCGCGCCCGCCACAGAGAACGTCGAACGTCCTCCCTGTCGAACGACGACGAGGAAAATGCCGTTCGAACGCCACCGTTGTCGTTCCTCCACCGATACAGACGTGTTACGTGCGAACTTGTTAGCCATTTTCGACACTGGAGGTGTTCCATGGAGGAGAGATAAAAAAAGGAAGGGAGGAGGGAGAGAGAGGTTCTTTCTTTCGTGGTACGTATTGGAACGAGATCATCGTTTATCAAACAACGCGATTACATTTTCAATTTTTAATCTAACTAATGGGTATGCCAGAAAACTGTAATATAACATTTGCATAAGTAATATTTACATCAATAGGGAGAAATAATTGTGAACGTTTGGAAGGAATTATTGTTAGAGATAAAGAACTAGGAATCGAGAGAATTTGATGATAGATCCAGTATCTTTAATTCTTGACTCTTCTAATTGAGATTAAAAAAAAAAGGAAAAGATATTGGGAATATATTTTTGGTAAATATTTTTTCTTTTTTTTATTGAAATTTGCATTTAATTTGTATGAATTTGACATGAGTTTGAATGATTTTAAGCTTTATCCATCGTAATTCTTAATTATCTATTTCTATAACACTTGCAATTATTTTATTCATCATTTAACAATGCATTTTTATATCACTTATGTATTTCCAAGAAATTATCTTTTTTTAAATATTCTACGATTTTACAGATCTCAAATCATTCTCAATCATTATTCGCAAAATACTTCAATTATTCGTGGATGAAGTAACATGAATAAGTAAAGGAAACACAGTCATCGTTTCTAATAGTGATCACGAGATGAGGGAGGGCTTTAGGTAATTTACTAATGTAGAATCATCCCTCTTTGTGCTGTTTTTCCCTCAAATTTCACCTTTTATCTCCTTTTTGCTTTCATTCCCTTTCTCTTATTTACGTTGTAAGCATCAATTTTTTTCATCTTAACCTTTCCTTCTTCCTCCTTCATTCTACGACCACTCTGGCAGCGCGTTATCTATCCTCTTGAAGCAAGCTATTACGCGATTGTATCTTAAATAAAATATCACGGGCATCCCATCGCCAACCACTCGAAATAATAATTGTCATCTCGATGTCAAGCTTTCGCCTCTACGATCCTTTTACCCTCGACTATGTGCCCACATCTCATTTCCTGCCCTTCTTCTGCTTTCCTTTTTTTGCAAACAGTGCAAACGAATTCGAAATAGGATAATCTGGATTGTATTATTACAATTAGTTTTTTAAAAATTGTAAAAAAGAGCATGAAGTAATTAGAAATATTTTAATAAAAAATATAGTAAAAATATAATTTAGAATAAAAAGTTTTACCTTTAAAAATAATATATTAATTGCTGAAAATATTATTTCGCGATACAACGTGATTTATCAATTTTCATTATAGAAAGTGATAAGAGATGATAAATTAAACTTTTTAATGTATCATTGTATAAAAATTAGAATATTAAAAGCAATTAGTAAATAGAAATTAAAAAAAGTAAAAAAAATACGTAATAAAATGAAAATTTATTATCGAAAGTTATTTAATATTCTCTAAATATAGAACGTTCCTTCCATTTTTTCAAGAATTTATCTAGAAGAAAAAAATAACGGTAACTAATCATTTCATTACGAATCTTAATTAAAAAGATATCTTCAAATTATTCAAAAACATTCAGACCGTTAAAATGGCTTTTTTATGGTGGCTCTTAAAACAATATTATCCTCATTTTCAAGATCAAACGGCGCAGTTTAAAGAATTAATTATATCAGGTTTAATACAACGGAATAAAACGGACGACATAATAATATGAGCAATTAATACTTATCCTTTTTCTTTTTTTTTTTTTTTCGTCAAAGTGTCCAGCCACCATTTCAATTAAATATGTGAAAATAAATTCCTTTGTGAATTTTCCTCGGCCGAGGAGACTCGTTTCCTTTCTCCCTGTACTTCGATTTTTTTCCCCTCTTCCTTCCCTCCTCTCTTTCTCTTTCTTTCTCGCGCACGCGACACAATATTGTACTTTTAATTATTTCGAACGCCGTGATCCTGCAAGCGTTATTAAAGCAATTGCAACAGGTATCGTCGCGCGATTCCGGAACGAACACCAGGAACGCGGCGAATATCGAGTGTAAAAGTTCCTGCAATGGGAGGATTTTCATTCGAACGCTTCCAGCGGACGCAAGAATTAAACAAGATTTTTTCCCGTACAACGTTTATTAAAATCCTGCCGAGCATGGAGATTCGTTCAATTGATTGTAAGAAATTTGATTCTAATATCAATATAAATTATTACATTGTTGGGAATGAAGAATTTTAAAGTATTTCCCTCGTTTCAGGTCGAATTAATGATGTGAAATCGAATTTAAAAAATGCAATCAAGTTTCGACGTTTCACGCAAATGTGTTTGTCGAGTTGTTATTGAGGTTTGTATTCACGTTTTGATAATAATTATAATACTTTATTAATAGTAATAATAATAATTTACAATTTCAAAAAAAAATCGAGTGTCGAGCTATTGTTTGCGAAATGTATAATAATACGCAATGATTTGAAAAAACTCGTGGAACTGTGGAAGAAATTGTTAATAATCGCAGATAAAACTTAATAACATAATTCAGTTAAGAATAATATAAAATAATTGATTGTTATGTAATATCTTCGATATATTTTTAAGAATAAATTGCAACATAGCCAAACAATCATTTGACTTAATATCCGCGATGATTCGTTTTTGAAAATAAATATTTCAAAAGTTTTTACTCTGTGCGTTTTAATCAATATGCACTAAATTTATAAGTTTTATAAGAAACATATCATAAGAATTTACTTATTACTTAAATATTCTCAAAAAAATTCTAACCCTATGATGTTAGATCAGTGACGCGACACTAGCGCCACGTGGCTCTTAACTACTAATACCCAACATACTTGTATATTTATATTACGTATTTACATATTTTTTAATTTATCATTTTTTTTTTCAATTTATTGCTTCTCTATTTCATTAATTCTTGAAAATTATCCTATCATCATAGCGTTAAAATGGATTTCACATTAAGGAAGAAGAGAGAATTACCAAGATCACAAAATTACGAGAATCCTCCTCATATTGAAAATTTACAAAACATTTAATTAAAGCTTAAATCCCACAAATTTTCAATATCTCCACAAATAATACGAAACATTATATGAAATAAATTTATCATTATTGCGGATTATGTCGCAAAAAGAAGAATGGTTTCGATCGGATGTGTCCTCTACAAGTGTGTATCCTTTCGAAGGGGGAATAATTATTGCGCCCAAGGCAACGAGTGTACGATAAAATCCTTTTCGTGGACGTTGTCTCTCTCTCGAACGTCCGCGTTTCGCGGTAAGAAAGAGAGGATCGAGGAGCTTATTTACCTAACCTATACACCCCTTCCCCCCTCCTCCCCGTTCCTGGACACATCGGGAACAGTTGTACGTAGGTAACTACGTA